CCCTTTCCCCTCACAACATCTTATATGTAATTTTGTGTAACAATGAGGGTCTCCTTCCATTTCCATGCAATTTCCCAGACATGAGTGTTTGACAGCTTTCTTTGGAATAGCTCCAAATTAGAAACTCGGATGTCTTCAATAGACAATCTGTACCAACATGTGTTTATTCATTTTATCTTTTATCCAAAATGTCTGGAACTAAAAGTGTTTCATATTTCAGAGTTCTCTGGATTTTGGAATATTTGAACATTACAAAAGATCCTGGGGATGGGATCCAAAGTCTAAACACAAATTTATTTTTTATATATAACTTATACATATGTCCTGAAGGTAATCTTATTCAATATTCTTAGCACACCAGTCACCAGTGATTTGACTATGACCTGTCACTTGAGGTCCATTGTGGAATTTTTCATGTGTAGCATCATATTGACTCTCAGGAAGTTTTGGATTTTGGAGCATCTTGGGTTTCCAGGTTAGGAATCTGCACCTGTATATCCACACAATGAAATACTATGCAGAAATACAGGAATGAGCTATTGACATGAATGTGACATGAACGAATCTCAAAATAATTATGCCCAATGGAAGAAATGAGAAAATGGGCATACTGTATACTTGAATTTACATGAAATTCTAGAATGTGCACACTAAGCGCAGTGGATGAGTGGTTGGCAGGACATGATGGTGCATATGCAGTGTTGTACAGCAGATCTCTAGATCTCTAGAAGGTACTAATTTTGAACAACTGAAACGACACCTATTTAATAGGAACTCCGCATTCCCCTTCTCCCCCGGTCCCTGGCAACTGCCATCCTGCTGTTTCTATAAGCATGACTATTTTGGATACTTTGACTATTTGGAATTGTATGTAGTACTTGTGCTTTTGTGATTTGCTTGCCTTAGTGTGATTCTTCATGTTCATCCATGCCATTACCTATGGCAGGATTTCCTTTAAGACTGAGTAGTATTCAAGTGTGCGCACGTGTGTGTGCATGCGTATGCTATAGTTTCTTTATCCATGCTTTCCTCATGGATAGTTGGGTTGTTCACAAATTGTGTTAGTCAGCTTTAGGGTACTGTAATAAATAAATGCCTGAGATTTTTCAACTCAAAGAGAAGAAAGGTTTTATTTTGGCTTGCAGTTTTGGAAATTACAGCCCATGGTTGGTTGACTCTGTTGCTTTGGGGCCTGTGGCAAAGGACATCATGGCAGGAGCATGCAGCATCGACAACTGCTCATTTCATGGTGGCTGGAGAACAAGAGGGGGGAAAGGACTGGGATCCCCAAATCACTTTCTAGGGCACGCATCTAGTGACCTAGCTTCCTCCCACAAGGTCCCACCTCTACCACATCCCTAGCACCGCAGCATGTTGAACAAGCCTTTAACCTGCGGGCCTTTGGGGAGTACTTACCCAAATCATAGCATATCTCCTGGCCATTGTGGATAACACTGCAACGAATATTGAAGTGCAGGCACTTTCTGATCTCGGTACCTTTTGGACGTACACTTTGTAGGACTGCTGAATTACATGGTAGTTCTATTTTTATTTGGGGGGAGTACCTCCATACTGTTTTCCATGGCAGCATCCCTCTTTATTCACATCGTTATTTTTACAGTAACCTTACATCCTAACGCTCATCCGTAAAATAAAAATAATAGACCACATGGCTGATAAATGAATAGTCAAAATATAGAAGGAACTCCTACAACTCAACAGCAGCTAATAATAATAATAATAATCCAAGTAAAAAAGTGGGGAAAAGGCTTAAGTAGACATTCTCCAAGGAAGACCTACAGATGGACAGTCGGCTTAGGGAAGATGCTCAATGTGCAGCATCTGTTTAAAGCACCCAGGGGAGGGTGGAGGGCCAGGCTGGAGGAACATTCTGCAGCCTTGCTGCTGGCTGGCCCCTTGCCAATCCTGCTTGGCCTTCCTCTTCTCTGTGTGCCTTGGACAAGAAACTCAGCAAAGTTTATTTTCTTATAGTCGTTGTCTTCCAGAGGAACAGACTGCAAAATAGAAGCCAGTCTGCAGGACGGATGCTCCCCATGCACAGGGTTCATAATCGGGCAAAAGGCAGTGGAGTAAGGGAAGGAAGAGGGGTGATGGTCCTACCGGTTCCATTCATTGGATCTCTTTTATTTTAGGGAAGATCCTGCTTTCCAGAGTGGCAGGAAGCAAAGGAGAAGGATGTCGGTAATGTAATAACTTTGATTATTTTAAAGTAATAACTCCCCAGATTTCATTTACTTGCATGCCACCTATAAAATGTGCCATAACATGATTCCTGGTTATCTGTTTATCTAAACTAACTTAAATTTATTTTAAAAGAAATTATTTCAATTTTAAATGGAAAAGCAGTGTTCTAGCAAATAGTGCTTGAAAATCGCCAGGTTACCCTGTGGGCTCTGAAAAGGCCCATTGGCCATATCTAGGATCATCAGTTTGGACAGATTGTGAGCCCAGTCAAAAAAACTCAGCAGAAGGTAACATTGTCATGTTAAATCTCAATTGTTTGCAAATAGGTAGTGGACAATTTGAAGGTAGATGCTCTCAGTCACTCCTTTGCCTCTGTAGTAAGTGCTCATTTAACAGAAAAGAGCCCGCTCATGTTAGCCGGGATATGGTGGACCCTCTCTTTGTTCCATGGCAACAGAATCAGGTGAGAGTGGCATCTCCGTGGCCGCTA